CATTCACTTAGTTCAAAAGATTCAACAAGAAGACATAGCTATAAGTGAATGTTGTAGAGGACAGAACACTAGTATATATATATCAGAAGACAATCAAGTCAACATAGTGAAGATAATCATGAAGACAAGTTGAAAATGAAGACAAACAAAATGCGAAGACATAGCAAATGTAACGCCATGGGTAAAACACTTCAAACAGAAGAATTTGGTGGTGGCGTTACCCACCGTATAGGAAGTATTAGACCCAGACACGGCGCACAATTATCGTGGTGCTCCGAAGTCAAATTCCACGTTAATGTATTCACACTCAGAATGTAAGTCTTCATTGATTGAAGATATACTTTACTTCGTGTGTTTCTAAGTCATCAACATGCATAAGTGTTAGGATGTGTGCCTGATCATAGGACATTTGAGGATTCCAAGATATTTAGCTCACACCATAACTTGCAAAACCTCTTCTGATCCAAGGGCTTGGTGAAGATATCTGCCAATTGCTCTTCAGTGTTGACGTGTATGATATTAATATCTTCCTTCACAACATGATCTCTGAGAAAGTGATGACGAATTTCAATGTGCTTTGTCTTTGAGTGCTGAACTGGGTTGTTGGCAATCTTGATGGCGCTTTCGTTGTCGCAGTAGAGTGGCACTTGCTTCAGGTGAATGCCATAGTCTTTGAGTGTTTGCTTCATCCATAGAAGCTGAGCGCAGCAAGATCCAGTAGCAATGTATTCAGATTCAGCAGTGGAGAGAGATACACAGTTCTGCTTCTTTGAAGACCAACATACAAGTGATCGTCCCAGAAAATGACATGTGCCTGATGTAGACTTGCGATCCACCTTGTCACCAGCATAATCAGCATCCGAGAATCCAACCAGATCAAACTCTGAGCCCTTTGGATACCATAATCCTAATGTTGGGGTGTAAGACAAATATCGAAGAATTGCTTCACAGCTAAGTGATGCGATTCCTTTGGTGCCGCTTGGAATCGAGCACACATGCAAACACTAAGCATAATATCTGGCCTAGATGCACATAGATAAAGTAAAGAACCAATCATGGAGCGGTATACCTTTTGATCGAACTCTTTACCATTGTCGTCGGGACCCAGATGATGTTTGGCTGGCATTGGCATCATGAAGCCTTTGCAGTCTTGCATCCCAAATTTCTTCAGGCAATCTTTGAGGTACTTCTCTTGAGATATGAAGATGTCATTGCGTTGCTGACGTATTTGAAGACCAAGGAAGAACTTCAACTCACCCATCATGGACATCTGATATTGCTCTTGCATCATATATCCAAACTCTTCACTGTATTTCTGATTGGTGCAGCCGAAGATAATGTCATCCACATATATTTGGCACACAAATAGTTCACCATCATATGTCTTCGTGAAGAGAGTGGGGTCGAGGGAACCAGGTTTGAAGCCTTTGCTCTTCAAGAAGTCTTTGAGTGTGTCATACCAAGCCCGAGGGGCTTGTTTGAGGCCATACAGTGCCTTGTTGAGCTTGTACACCATGTCAGGATGTTTTGGATCTTCAAAGCCAGGCGGTTGTGCAACATACACTTCTTCTTCAATCTTGCCATTGAGAAAAGCGCTCTTCACATCCATTTGATACAGAAGAATGTTATGATGATTTGCATAGGCCAGCAGTATGCGTATGGCTTCAAGTCTAGCCATAGGAGCAAATGTTTCATGCAAGTCAATCCCATCAACTTGAGTGTACCCTTGAGCAACGAGACGAGCTTTGTTTCTGACAACTTGACCATGCTCATCTTGCTTGTTGCGATATATCCATTTGGTGCCTATTATATTGTGCTTGCGAGGATTAGGACACTTAACCAGTTCCCATACATTATTCAGCTCAAACTGTTGAAGCTCTTCTTGCATAGCTTGAATCCTATCGGGTTCCATGAAGGCTTCTTCAACTTTCTTGGGTTCAAATATTGAGACGAATGCGAAGTGCCCACACAAATTTGCTAGCTGTGTTGCCCTCGAACGAGTGAGTGGACCTGGTGCATTGATGCTATCAATTATTCTCTCAATCTGTACTTCATTTGCAACACGAGGATGTACAGGACGAAGATTTTTCTCTTGCTGATCATTGTCATCGTTAGAAGGATTGTCTTCAGGCTAAGCATTGTCTTCAGTTTGATCAGGTGCGGAGATGATAAGTTCCTCTTCAGGCTGAGATTTAGGATGGTATGATTTCTCCAGTTCCCATAAGTTTGATTGATTCACTGGATGGAACTTCATCTAGCACGTTTGGCAGGTGCTCTCTTTCTGAGTCATTAGTCTCATCGAACCGCACATCCACTGTTTCAACCACTTTATAGTGAAAAAGGTTGAAGACTCTGTAGGAGTGCGAATCCTTTCCATATCCAAGCATAAAACCTTCATGTGCTTTTGGTGCAAATTTTGAAGTGTGATGTGGATCCTTGATCCAGCACCTGGCACCAAATACTCTGAAGTAACTGACATTTGGCTTCTTGCTAGTAAGGAGCTCATAGGATGTCTTGTTGAGAAGCTTGTGAAGATAAACACGGTTGATGATATGGCATGTAGTATCAATGGCTTCAGGCCAGAACTTTCTTGGAGTCTTGTATTCATCAAGCATCATCCGGGCCATCTCAATAAGTGTTATGTTCTTGCGTTCCACGATGCCATTCTGCTGCGGTGTGTACGGAGCTGAGAATTCATGTGTAATGCCCAAAGTATCAAGATAAGTGTCTAGACCAGTGTTCTTGAATTCAGTGCCATTGTCACTTCTGATGTGCTTGATCTTGATGCCATAGTTGTTCATGGCTCGATTGGTGAAGCATCTGAAGACATCCTGCACTTCACTCTTGTAGAGGATTATATGCACCCAAGTATATCTTGAATAATCATCAACATTGACAAAGCCATAGAGACAAGCAATAGTAGTAAGAGTTGAGTAATGAGTGGGACCAAAAAGGTCCATGTGGAGCAGTTCGAAGGGTTGAGTCGTTGTCATGATTGTCTTCGAGGGATGCTTGGCCCTCGTCATTTTTCTTGCTTCACAGGCACCGCATAAGCGATCCTTCTTGAACTTGACGCCCTCGATGCCTATGACATGCTTCTTCCTTGCAAGGGTGTGGAGGTTCCTCATGCCAGCATGCCCTAGCCTCCGATGCCAGAGCCAGCATTCAGAAGCTTTTGCTAGAAGACATACGACAAGTTGTGGTCCTGCTGAGAAATCTACCACGTACAAATCATCTTTCAGATACCCTTCAAACACTAGAGACTTGTCAGATTACATTGGAACAAGGCAACGATATTTTCCAAACATCACAATCATGTTTAAATCGCAAAGCATTGAGACAGACATTAAGTTGAAACCAAGGGATTCAACAAGCATGACTTTATCCATGTGTTGATCCTTTGAGATTGCAACTCTACCTAGACCCAATACCTTGCTTTTACCAGTGTCAGCAAATGTGATGTGACTTTTGTCAGATGGACGTAAGGTTGAGTCCATGAGAAGTCTTCGCTTTCCAGTCATGTGATTAGTACACCCACTATCAATAATCCATTCTGAAGCAGCTGGTGTCGTACCCTACAGTGCAGTTAGGGGGGTAGGCTTCACGAAGAGAATTGTGAAGCATAAACATTTGACAAGCAAGTGGATTATGAAAGCTTAGATTGAGGTTAGGACTGATAGGGCAAGTGGCAAGCGACTCGGGAACAAAATACATAATAAGACCATTTGGGCATTTGATCTTGCACCCTACAAGATGTTTAAGGTCCCAAGCAATGGCTTCAGACGATTTTGGTTTTCGGCTGGAGACCTTTCCCCGCAAAAGAGAGTTAAGCTTTCTTAGCCACCCACATCTTCTAGGGTGGCTTCGAAGCAATGAGTCTAAGTGCAGCATCTGAGAGCTTTGGCTTTGGAGCCCTAGCAAAAAGTCTTGTAGGTGGACAATAGTACTCATAAGAATATGCAGAGTAGTTCTTGGTCTTATGAACATGCGGTTTGATGAAACACGCTCATATTCATAGGCCTGAGTAAGGTTTCCCTGCAAAAAATTTGCGTTAGTGCGACTCAGGTGAGTCCTCTGTCTGTATGAAACCTTTGGACCGTATGAAGCCTATGGTCTGGGATTTGTCTTCTTCATGTGTGGTGTCATGACGACATTCACAGGAAGATTCTCCAAACATCTTTTCGGCACCCAGACTTTCTTCATAGGCGGCCCATTCCTGCAGTTAGTACCAATATACCTGGCAAACACTTCACCATTCTGATTCTTAAACAGTTTATAGTTTGCATCAAAGGATTCATCAATAACAATGGGATTAGCACAAGTGAAGCCAGATAGGGTGGATGGATCCGCTAAAGGTTCCTTTGCAGCAAACCATGTGGTTTTGGGGTATCGCTCAGGTTTCCAGAAAGAGCCATCAGCATTCATTTTCCTTTCGACCCCAACACCCTCTTTCCTAGGGTTTCGGTTCAGGATCTGCCTTTTGAGGACATCACATAGTGTCTGATGCCCTTTGAGACTTTTGAACATCCCTGTTTCAAGCAATGTCTTCAACCTAGCATTCTCATCAGCAATAGCAGTGGCATCCTCAGCAGAGGGGTTAGTTACCACATCAACACTAGAAGATAATGCAACAGTAGCAGCAGTAGAACATTTAGCAACAGAAGTAGCATTATCACGCTCAAGGCATTTAAGACATGGTGGTTCAAATCCTTCCTGAGCGGGACTGATTTGTTCAGCGCGAAGTGACTCGTTTTCCTTTTGAAGATCTTCATGAGCCGCTCTCAATTTCTCAAGTTCTTGCTTCCTATGAAGATAATCATAGGAAAGCTTTTCATGAGTTGTTGAGAGCGTTTCATGACGACTTTCAAGTTCCTCATACTTAACATGAAGATTTTTTATGTCTTCAATTAAGGACTGAGATCGAGTCATTTCAGCATCCAACAGGTCATCGCTTTTGTCTAACAGTTTTTGAATATGTTCCGTAGCTTTCTGTTGTTTAGTGGCAAGGGAAGCAAGTTTTGCATAGCTGGGTCCAAATTCATCACCAGATTCATCATCACTGGATTCAGATAGATAGCATTCAGTTACCTTAGAATCTTTTGCCATAAGGCATGATGCAGAAGATGATGATTCTGGTTCGAATGTCATCGCTTTGAGAGATTCCTTAAAGTCCTCAAACCAAGGATCATGACGAGTTTGATGACCTTCATAGACCTCAGAGAGACGGTCCCAGATAAGCTTCGCATGATCGAGATGCATGATATTCCTGAACTGATTTTGAGACAGACAGAAGCAGATGACGTCCTTCGCCGTGAGGTTGAGAAGAGTGTATTTGCAAATGTCATTGGCTTCCGCCATCTTCCACAGATCGGTTAGAACAATCTCAGTAACGGTCCACAGCTCGCTGTTTATCGCCGTGAGGCGCTTCTTCATCATGGCCTTCCACTTGGGATACTCGTGACCGTCAAAGATGGGGCATGACACAGTCTTCATTCCTGTGGTCGACATAACTAAAACTCCAGGTGGTTAAACCAAAATCACACAGAACAAGGGAGTACCTTGCTCTTATACCAATTGAAAGTGCGTTATATCGACTAGAGGGGGGTGAATAGGTGATTTTTATGAAAGTCTTCAAAATAGGGGAGTTTTGAAGACAAATGATAGAAATGAACCTATAACCATGCAACGGAAGGTAGACCACCCTAGACAAGCCATAATCAAGTATTCAATGAAGTGAAAGCACAAAGACTAACAGCAGCTAGGCAGTACGGATCAGGATGGAAGATAATATGAAACCAATCTGAACAAACAGTCACACAGTGAAGACAAATGGACAATGCAAATAGGAAATGACTTCACAAGGACCAACTGTAAATAAAGAGATGGGAAGGATAGAACCAGTGAGCTTGGTGAAGATAAAGGTTTGGTAGACCAGTTCCAACTGCGGTGACAGTTGTACGTCTGGTTAGGGCGGCTAGGTATTTAAACCCGATGACACACAGTCCCGGACATCCTGTCCTGAACACGCAGCTCAGGACACTCAGTCCTCACCGTATTCCCTTTGAGCTAAGGTCACACAGACCTCGCCCAATCACTCTGGTAAGTCTTCCAGGTAGACTTCCAAACCTTCACAGACTTTGTTCACCGGCGATCCACAATGACTCTTGGATTCTCATAACGCGATGCCTAACCAGCTGGAGGATTCACAGTCCTCAAGTGTAATAAGTCTTCAGATCACACAAACACGAAGACTTCAGTGATGCCTAACACTCTTTGGCTCTGGGTGGTTAGGGCTTTATCCTCGCAAGGAATTCTCTCTCAAAGGCTTCGAGGTGGGTTGCTCTCAAACAACAAAAGCCGTACACTAACTCTGATCAGCCAACCATTTATGGTTGTAGGGGGTGGGCTATTTATAGCCACTGGGCAACCCGACCTGGTTTGTCCGAAATGACCCTTGGTCACTAAGGAACTGACACGTGTTCCAACGGTCAGATTTCAAACACACACGTCAACTTTACTTGGACTACAAGCAAAGCTGGCTTATCGAACTCTGGACAAGATTTGCTCTCATAGTCTTCACTCGAAGACATAGGATTTTGGTTAAGCATCACTTCAGTCATTCTGACTGGTTCTCTTGGACCCCACTTAACAGTACGGTGGTTCCTATGACTCAACAAAGAAAAACACAAAATGACAAAACTGCTAAGTCTTCGCGCTCCATAGTCTTCACGCGATGTCCTCTCTTATCATAGTCTTCAATGTGAATGTCTTCACATACCACCTCTGACTTCAATGTCTTCATACATTTTTAGGGGTCATCTCTGGTAGGAAAACCGAATCAATGAGGGACTTCTACCTGTGTTATCCTGCAATTCTCACAAACACATTAGTCCCTCAACTAGGTTTGTCATCAATACTCCAAAACCAACTAGGGGTGGCACTAGATGCACTTACACTATGTTCGAAGATCAAAACACATCACACCACTTGGTCCATGTTGTGCGCTCCATATTTTTTATGTACCTTCATCTTGAAAAACGGTTGCCCATAGCCTACATGTTTTCAGTTTCTACTTTGTATTGTCACCATGTCTCGTTGAATAATAGAAGTAAATCAATGAAGGATATTATGGTGAATAATTCGGTGTTAATGCTCATAGGTGTGGAGAGTCGACCACGACGAGCTTGGCTAATGTCAACACGTGAAGGTGAGTTTCACCCAATCCCTTTTCACTCCTCTCTCTCTCCCTCTCTAATTCCATCTAACTCTGCAGCTCGGCAAGCTTATGCAATGTCCTATGTTTCCATATTTTTTATTGTTTTAAATAGATATCACTCAGGAGAGCATGTTCTTTAGGTTAGCATTACTGTGAAGGACCTATACCTTCCTGTTTAATTGATTATGTTTGCACAACATGTATTTTCAAAATTAGTTGTTCATGTGCGAAGAATTTTGTTAGTTTTTAGTTTAAAAAAGGTATACATTAGTTACTAATTTGACCCAAGCAGCCAAAATGGATGGATATATTTTTGTGGTGTTCTAAGGGAAGCAGGCCCTCTGTTACAGCTTGCTAGCCATTTTTGTTTGTGAATACGCAAGGGTGCCTTGCCTTCTCTACTCTGATGTTTCGGGTATTTGATAGCCTTGTTGCACACGTTTTGTTTGAGTGATGCGTTCTTAACTGAAATGCCTTTGTGATCATATTGACATGTTATATTTTTTCCTCAGCTGGGTCAAGTACAGAAGACGAAATGCAAGATTCAAGATCACTCTCCTGTATGTGATTATTTACTCATTTCGAGCCATTTTGCAACCCATCTTGACTTCTTTTATTTTGTGATTTGAGCTATACACACCAAAATTAGCCCACATAAGTTTGAACCATATCTGAACATGTTAGATCACTCTCCTGTATGTGATGATTTACTCTATGGGGCCATGTTATGACCTAGCTTGAGTTCTTTTATTCGCGATCTGAGCTGCAAAATAAAAATAAAAATAGTCCACGTAATTTGAACCATATCTGAACATTTTAGTATCTGAATACTGAAATTACCAAACATGATCTTCACTTCGCCATGTGTGACACCACTGAGTACTTTAACTAAGCTAGCTGTAGTAATATTACGTTTTACATGGCTATGCAAGTTAAAGGTTCTAATATAGTGTATGTTTATCGATATTTTGTGTTATACTGATTAATATACTTCACATATAAGTTTTAACCTAAGAGCTCCTAATAATTGTTTCTCCTCTTTGCAGTTGCCATTCTAGTCATATTTTTTCTGAGATAAAGAATAACATTGAGATGAATTTTCTTTCCGATGATGAGATTGGGTATGCCTATGTTTTGTATTTTTTTCAGTATTATTTTATTTCAGGCTTCAGTTAGCTGAGAGAGCTAAGAGATAATATGGTAAAAAATTTCTATCAAGTGGGTGAGCTCCATTTTTCAAGGTAAGTCATGTGACAGCAAAAAAAACAAGGAGATGTGTCTCTTATCAGTTGATTTGATCTTATCCAGGTTCTATTTTCTTTCAGGCCATGAGTGACGATGTCTTAGTTAGAGCTACTACATTCAAAGAGTAAATATGTTTCGTTGTACTGAATTTATGTACATTGTATGAAAAAGGTGCATCTATTATGCCATGTAGAATTTTTAGCTAAGCAATTGTGTAGACTTACAAAGCTATCATGACAGATGTTAGTGATTTCTGTATTGGGGCCATGTTACATCTCTAGGGTTGAATTAATGGCTAGAAATTCAGAGTTACATAGCTGAAAACAGGGTTGCTCGAAGCAAACAAGCTGCTTATTCAGTATTTTTAACACTCATGGAAAAGGTATATGCTCTTCCTAAATTCCAAATTATTATTATATCACATAACTGAAAGTGCATTAGACCAATGGTATTATTAGAAATAAATTTCTGCCCCATAGCTGAATCGTATCTTTTCTCAGTGTGTATATATGTTAGAGATGTGTATGCTTGAGATAATATTCTTCATTTGTTAACTTTACCAATGTATGGCTGACATGCTTCATTATGTTATATCACATCTAAAAGTGCATTACATCGGTGGTTTATTAGAATGGATAATTTCAGTCAAATAATTGAGTTCTTTTCTTCAGTGTACATACAAGTTACAGATGTGCATGATTATGTTTATTCTCTACATTTGGTAAATTCACCTATGTATGGCTGACATACTTCTTCAAGTTATGTTTCTAAAGCTCCATGCTTAATCATACAGAATGTTTCCAACTGACTACTTGATGCATGGAGGAGTTCAGAGAAGCTGGTGTTATGTTACATATGATCTTCAAGCTGATGTTATGTTTCTTCCATGGTTTGTATATTTGTTGCAAAAACATAGTACAAGAAAAAGATCTATGCTCATGAAGATGGCAGAAGGGAACTACATGTGGAACAAGAACCACCAGCGTTGACCAGTTGGGCGTCTGGATAGTGGTAGTGCACAAAAATTGCTTGCCGTATAGAGTCAATGTAATCCACTACTAGCCCACTCGCTGATTTTTATGTTATGGAATTATAGTTCAACCATAGTATGTATTTACACTCCTGTTGTGAGATTGTACTATATAAATTATGGGAGGACAAAGTAGGCCTTTATATGCAAATAACTCCTTGTTGAAATGAGTAACTTGAGCCATTTGGCACAACAGGTCTATTTTCTTACTTGCAATAATGTGCTTTGCCTTTTATTCTACTGTCTGAAAAAAGTTTGTGAGTCATGACACAAGAATTCTCTATTGTTACTATAACTAAATATAAGATGAACTTCAAAAACATCTTATATTTAGTTACAAAGGGAGTAGGTGTTTGTGCCTATAAGAAATGCTAACTTGAAATTCAACAAACAATGACCAACCTACATTAAATTAAAAATCTGCAGACACAAAACAAATACTAGACAACTTAAATGGTTTCTAAGCACTTTTTTATTAGAAAACCGAGTCTACTATTGAATTCTATGCTCTAAGGATTGCCTACCAAAGGGGTTATTTTTTAGTATAACTATATCTATGCTTTTTTTTCATCTTAACCTTTTCCGATAACTGCATGCTCATGTATATATTTTGAAAGAGAAGTCTTTCTTAAATTTTCATATAAAAAGGGTTACAATTCATTCCTTTTGTTTACCATAGGCACATAGGTTAGCCTCAATTTATTATGATCCTTTTGTTTAGAGTAGGTGCAGAACTGAGACATACCCACATTGTGAGAGCTGATGATGATTCTATTACTTGCTGCCTGCAACATTTATGTCTCTGTAAACAGCATAACTAATGCCATGTGGTTTCCAATGTGACTAAGATCTAAACTATTGATGAGTGTAGTTTCTAAAGGACAGAGTTGCAGAAAAATGGAAATATTTTCAACGGGCCATGATTTTGAATGGAACTTTGTGCTACCAAATTATAATGTGTATATACATCTCATTGTAGATAACAAGCCACTTTTTCCGCTAAAAGCGATTAGATTTGTTACCATATGTGCTTGCCCACAACTAAACAAAGTAAAACATAGATTTTATTTTAAATGGGACTCTATGCTACCAAATTAAAATGTGTATAGATATACATCTCATTATAAACAACAAGCCACCATTTTTCCTGACTAAAGGAGATTAAATTTATTGCCACATGTACTTGCCCAAACTAAACCAATTAAACCATGAATTTCTTTTCATCGTGCACATGAAATGTTTTCAATATAACAAGATTTAACACATCGGTTTTCTACTACCAATATCAAACATGTCCTTGCAAAATGAAACTATTTGCATCGACAACATGGCTTTAGCGGGTCTCTACGCCATTTGGCGCGACGGTTCTTGCAGCATGAAACTATTTTCATCGACAACATGTATTCATCGGGTCTCTGCGCCATTTGGCGCAACGGGTCAACTAGTATCTTGAAAATGCCTCCTTATGCAAAGTATATGAAAGACATCATAACTAATAAGAGAAAAATACCGGAAGCTGAAATCTCCACTATGCTTGTTAATTATACTTTTAAAGATGGAGTACCTAAAAAACTTGGAGATCTAGGAATACCAACTATACCTTGCTCTATCAAAAAGAATTATGTGAAAACTGCTTTATGTGATTTAGGAGCTGGTGTTAGTGTTATGCCTTTCTCTTTATATAAAAGACTTGATTTGAATAAACTCACACCTATTGAGATATTTTTGCAAATGGCTGACAAATCAACTGCCATACGTATTGGTATCTGTGAGGATGTGCCCGTTGTTGTTGCTAATGTTACTATTTGGACTGACTTTGCTATACTTGAGATGCCCGAGGATGACAACATGTCGATTATCCTCGGTAGACCCTTCTTGAATACTCTAGGGGCTGTTATTGATTTCAATAAAAGCAAGGTCACTTTTCATATCAATGGTAATGAGCATACGGCGCACTTCCTGAAGAAACAATTCCAAGTGAATGGTATTAATGTTATTGAAAAATCTCCAACAATCACTATTGGAAGTTTTCAAATACCTCTACCTACTGTCAAAAAGAAATATGAACTTCTTATTGTTGGGGACATTCATATCCCCATTGAGGTAACTTAGTGATTCACGATAGTTCTTCGATTTCATGCTAATCGAAAGTGATTGTTAACAAGACTTGATCAACCTTATTAATGGATCATTTTTGAGCGGTACGAAGTTGATGATTTTAGTAAGCACTACCTTTTGTCCCTAATTTTTGTTTTCTGTTTTTATTAGTTAAATAAAATAAAACGCGATGTTTTGTCTATTTTCTGAATTTCCCGTGCAATACAAAAATGACCCAAAAATAAAAGTTCTCAGAATGCCCTGAAAATTTAATACAATTTTTTCTGAAGATTTCTGAATTTTTGGTGCAAATAATATCAGAGGGAGGTGCACCAGGTGGGGACAAACCACCTTGGTGCGCCAGGACCCCCAAGCGCGCCCTAGCGGGTTGTGGTCCCCACGTGGGCCCCCTCACTTATCTCTTTACACCACATCACCACTTACCTCCAGAAAAAATTCTCCATTGCTCTCTCTCTCTCTCTCTCTCTCTCTCTCTCTCTCGTGTTCTTGCTCTCAAACCTGCAGATTTTGATCTCTTTGCTCGAAGCAACGTTTTGGAAACTGTTTTGGGGGATTGTTGCTTGGTATGTGACTCCACAGTTTGTCCAATTAGTTTTTGTTTTAGTGGTGTATATTTTGAACAATAGCTACGCTTGGTGCTGCTGTAGATGAGCCTGCATGTTGAATTCTTAGAGTTCTAAGTAGTTTGAATGCTTGCTATGGCCTTTATGTATCCCTATGAGTAGCTGCTATCAATCTTATAAAGTTTTGTTGATAAATTTTTGTCACTCAAAAATTTTCAGAAAATTGTACATGAACACGATGAACCTTTTTATGAGGAGTTCTTAGAAGAGGCGATCCTCAGGGGCATCTTCTAGTGACAGCTCCGCTTGCCGGTCTTATGTTGAATCAAGTGAAAGTTCTACACGAGATGCCACAACCAACACATGCTTATGACCTTTCAATGACTATATGATGCATGTGGGCACTAAGGAGGAATTTGGTCTCGGTCCCTACATTTCAGATAAGTGCGAACAACGCCACATTCTCACTGAATCGTTTGTCAAAGGATTTAAATTCCATCCCCGTGAGTCTAGGGTGTCGTTTATGCTTTATGATAATCCATTTACCATCTCACTAGAAAATTTTGCTTATCACCGCAAACTCCCATTCCGGGGTTCGCTTGACGAACCACCAAGGGCCGAGTTCCAATCATTCTTGACTAGTCTTTGTTACGGTGAGACCAGGGGAGTGACACAAGGTAGAATAAAGAGCATTCATTTTCCTGCAATTCAGTACTTTGCATTATTTAACGGGAAATGTATAGTAGGCAAGCAAGACTGTAGTACGCTTTTGTGCTCCAGACTTGAGCGTCATATGGACCGCTCTCACCGGTGAAAGGAGTTATAACCTTGGAGCGATTGTTGCACGCAGACTTCAGCATAACGCTAACAGTGGCTATTTCTATGGTGGAATATATGCCACGCGTTTAGCATGAGGGTTGGGTGTTTTTCCTTTTCCCTTTGACCCTATCCTGCACACACAGTATTTATATTTTGACACCTTAAAATATCATAAGATCCTTAAAGGAAAAATTCATAACTTCACTTACAATATGTTGTTTAACCAAACATCTGTTGTGCACACATATTTGCATGTGCCTGCTCTTTTTGACTATCACAACAAAGGAAGATATTTTGTTCTTGAGAGCGAGGTCCGAGCTCAGAACGTAGTAGTGGAGGCAGCACGGCAGGCCGAGGCATCCGCACCGAGAGCCTCTGTGAGCTACCATGCCAACTACTATCCAGGCTTCTGATTGATTACCAAGTTAGGCCAAAAGCCTAAGCTTGGGGGAGTACATGTTTCTCACCAACATTACATTCATGTCCACTTATTCCAGTTGTCTGTGCTCACACTTTTTCATTGTATCATCCATGCTTAATTTTATTTTTCTTGCTTTCTTCTTGTGTGTTTGTAAAACCTTAGAAAAACCAAAAAAAT